GCCAGTCCCGGTGCTCCGTCACTCCCGGGCACTTGGCATCGCGGCGCAGGTGCAAGGTGGTCTTGGCGCCCCCCCCACGGTCCTGCGAAGGGACTGGACCCCAACGAACTCGCGTGACTCAAATTTGGAGGCCCAAGCCCTGGATGGTTTCCTCTTTTCTCCACCTGAACCCTCAAACTACCCACAAAAATCGGAGTTCATCCCAGAACTTTGGGGCAAGGTACTTTTGCACATGGGTTTGAGGGTCCGGGTACAAACTTTCAGCCGTACAGCTTTTGGAGAAACTCCTGGCATGTGTGCTTGCAGTGGGTTTTTTTGGGGGGGAGACAACTTTCTGTGTTTTTTTTTGGGGGGGGGGGGGGTTAGGAGCTTTGCAGGCCTCTCACCAGTTGCAGGTCAGTTCACTGGGTTCCGGCCCAAGGACCATCGGCTTCTGTGTCTAAGCCTGAGCCTCTCCGTTGAACATGGGATGACCAGAAAAGGAAAACCACTTGAAAAAATGATACTTCTTCTCCAAATGGGAGACACGTCACCCATGGGTCATTTTGATTAACCCATGTATTATTGATCAACCCATGTATTTTTGATCAACCCCCATGCACAGGCCCTGGGCCCTACCCATCAGTTGAGGGCCAGGAATCTGGATCAACCCCTGGGCCCTTGGGTTCAAACCTTTTTTTTGGGGTTCCCCTTGGGCCATGCCTTGAACGATTGGAATCGCTTGAGCCGCGTTGTGCAGGGACGATTTCAAAAGAGGCGAACACGCCCCGAGTGGGACCCGGGACCTGGCTCCAAGAGAAGAATGTCCCAGACTCGCTTATCGAGTGGATGGGCCAAAACAAAAGTAACCATCGTGTTTTGCATCTACCCCGAAAAAAAATAAATAACATGGTTTGTACTTGTCTCCGAAATTTGTCCAAGCCCAAAAAGTGACTAAAGTCCAGAAACGGAACTTGGGGACTGAGAACCCAGACCAGCGTTTTGGCCCGACAAACAAACAAACAAACAACAAGTCAGACTGGCATGTTGGCCCCACATCTGCTGAGAAATGTGGTCTCCTGCCAGGGATTTCGCGCCACATCTGAGGGAAACGACAAACCAAAACATGTGAGTCAGTGGTCTCCTGCCAGGACCGGCGTTTTGGCCATATATCTGAGACAAACGAAGGTGGTCCTCTGAGGGAAATGACAAAACCAAAATACACATGTGGTCTGAGACGCAATTGGCTTCCTTTTTTCTTCGCGCCATATCTGAGCCCTGCCCAAACCAAACATGAGACAAAACACAAATGTCAGACTGGCATGTTGGCCCCATATCTGCTGAGGGACCAACGAATAAACACAAAGAACATTTTTAAAAAAAATGTGGTCTCCTGCCAGGAGAGGCGCAGGGTCAAGGTCTTCCGCTCTTCCCCGTTCAGCGCCACCTCGATATCCGTGAGCCCCAGGCGGCAGTCCATCTCCTGCGTACTGCCAAACCTGAGCCGCGGATGGTGCGTTGTTCTCTTCAAATGGGTGGGGTGTTTTCAAACATGGGGGGGGGTCACGGAAAGCCCTGGGAAATGGGCAAAAATACAGTGGATGGACGAAATCCTGCACCACCTAAGATTCCCTTGAATGATGTTTCCCCTGTAAGTACCAACGCACAATGGTTTCCCTTGGTTTCAAAGTGGTGCAGGATTTTGTCCATCCACAGTACGGACTAGAAAACCTGCGGTTTGATGGTGGTTTAATCTTTGACCCATATTCCAAATTGTGGCATTGACGCTATCCATCAAGAGTGAGTTCTACAATCAAAGGAAGTCCGGTCATCCAGTCACAATGCCCCTTTGAATCCAACGAAGACAAATGACAAGTCACCAAACAACTGAAATGACAAATGTGAGGAGATTGGCTTAATTTGCACCAGCCTGAAATAAGAAGTAGATCCTTCTCGAAGGAACCTTCATCTTGGCATAGGCGAGATGTTCAAGTCTCCACAAGACACATGAGCCCTCACGTGGTGAATCCAGGCGCAAGAAGTCGCACCCCTGGTTATGGCAGAAGAATTCCCGTGACCTCCACCCTGACTTTGATTTTATCCTCTCAATCAAGGTGTCTCACAAGAGGGGACCCCCCAAAAACATGGCTGTCCTGTCGGTTTCAAATCCGTTCAAGTTCCCAAAAAAGCTGGGGACCCATGGACCCCGTAGAAAAAACCAAAGAGGAACCATGTGGGGTCCCCTTCAGGGAAAGCCCAGAGTGTGGAAGGGAAGTGTGAAAAAACCTGGGCGACCGCGCCTCTTGAGGACGGTCAACTTTTCTAAGTTGGTGGTTGTGGTTGGTTCCTAGACAGAAGTGGTAGATCTGCCAGCCGCCCGAGCTGTGTTCAAAACTTAGTAGCAAAGCGGTCTACGCAAAACCCTGGTCAACAAGAGAGAGGACAAATGTACTTTTTTGTCTGGACCGTCCCTTACTATTATGTTTACCCGTGCGTTGACTGTGGTGGCGTCCCTCTCTAT